GCTGTTAATAATTAATATCATTATGCATAATTGCCACTCAGAGATGCTTGGGGACCTTCTTCTCTGCAGAAACACCCATCAGAAGCAGCAAGACCCAAGCCCTACAAGGGTGAAAGGAATGCTTTGTAATCACTTATGTAAAGGTGTAGTGACACAGAGCTGAATCCACAGCCTCTTACCTTCAGGGAGGTATTGCTTTTCCCTTTCAGGGACCTTGGTCTCCAGGCAACAGCGCGATCCTATGTAAACCCAGTATCTTCCTCCTCTGAAATTCCAAATACTGAAAACATTTTGACAGACTACTTAGAGAATTGGCTTAAGACCCCTCCCAGGGTACCTCCTACTCATGCTTCTGTTAATTACTCTTGTTCGGGAAGCCAAAGCAGGTTCATCAGAACAGAAGGCTTTAAGTCTCTCAATTGACCCTTGGGCTGTGATCTCTCAGGACAATACCAATGGGCCAGTGGCCCTGACTCCACACACTCTGCGTCTCCCAGAAATGTGTGCCCAGGCAGCCACAGATGAACCCAAGTCATATTTCCAATCTGTTTTTTAAAAGAATATTACTAACATACAAGTATTTTTTTTCTTCACATTTTAAATGTTTAAAAAATTATTGACTCCCGGAAAAGCTCCAAATCAGAAAAGTCTCATTTGAGGAACCCAGTTTGAGATTCACAAGATGTCTTAGTTTCTCTTCACTTTTGTCCTCTGCTTGTTTTTTAAGATAACCTGCACCTAATCAGCTCTGTCTAGTGCACCCGTGTCCTGGTCGCATGCTCCACTTGGGATCTCGTGTTGCTTTGTCTTTATGGTGATTCTCCTTAATACTGGAATTTCAGAAATGCTGAAAAGAAAATCTGTTGATTTTTGTCAATAGATTTGGCAAAAATCTTGTTCTCTAGGATGTAACCGCAATGAGTGGTTCCAGCCACCATGAGTGGTGTCAACATCCTGAGATGCTGACTGTATCTCTGCACATCTTAGAACACACAACAGGAAGTCATAAGCATCTTAGGACACACAGTAAGTGTTCCATAAACAGTGTCTGAGTTCATTAACTTGAAATCCAACTCCATTCAGTTCCGTGGAACACAAGCAGAACAGAGCCCGAATATCACAGGAATGACCCCGGCCCAATTTCTAGTCATTTTGTTTGTTCTCTGACTCCTCAAGAGTGGGACCTTCACTCTTCATGCTTTTCTCAGCATTCTTGTTTTTCAAGCTCATTCCAGAATGGCCCAGGAAGCAGAGTAGGACTTTTCGAGTCCCAAATCCCAAACTCATCCACACATTCACTAGCAAAGGACCTAAATGGTTCCGAAGACCTAAGAATCACAGGGGCAGGTTTATCACAATGGTTTCTCAGTACCTCTTGTTCTGTATTACTTTCTTGTGTCTGTGATTGAATAACCAAATCTCTGACCAAGGCAACTAAATGGAGAAAGATTTGTTATGGCTTAGAGATGCAGAAGTATAGGGTCCATCGAAGCAGGGACAACACAGCAGCATGTAAAAATGGCATGGTGTTAGAAAGCACAGTCTGGCTAGTCTTACCTCAGTCCACCTCAGGAGGCATGAGGTGAACAAAAAGAGAAACTGGGCTAAAAAGCCTCAAGGCCAGCCCCCAGTGACCCAGTTTCTCCAATGAGGTGCCACTTCCTACAGATCCCCCAGCCTTCACAAACAGTTATCACCATCTGAGGAACACGTGCTCAGCTCTGAGAACCTCAGAGAGACATTTAGCATTCAAACCCCAATAGTGAATGACAGCAATGAAAGGCATCTTTTTTTTTTTTTGAAGTTAAAAGTATTCTAACATTACCCAGAAGTGGTGACTGGTGTGTTCTGTGACTGTTCTAACACCCCTGGATTCTATGCATCCTTTATATGAGTGGGTTCTGTAGGATGTGAATGCTTTATTACTACAGCTGGTATTGAAAGTAGCAGAATCTGCTGCGTTGATATGGTCTTTGTGACGTAGTGCTCATTACATATCCGAACTCAAAGAGCAGGCGAATGACTTAAAGGAGAGATTGGATGATGTGAAACTCCTGGCAAAGTAATGGACAACAGTAAATGCTGGGTAATAGATGGGGGACACTGTTGGACTTTGCTTAAACAAGTGACCTCTGCTTTGCCCATTCTGAACTGTGGCTTTGCTGTTTGCTTTTAGTCAAAATGGGCTGGGATAAGTTTCAGGGATAACCCCCACCCCCCCACATGTAGTCTAGTGAGGTCACACATTTTAAAGCTCCGATATCTTTTATTTATTTTTTAACTAATGTCACTGAGACCCTGTTCAAGATGTGCTTATGAAGAATTACCCTTTTAATGGTGGAGCATTTAATGAGAAACTGGATTTTCTACTGCATAAGTGCCCTTCATACAAATTAGATTGGCCCTGGGTCCTGATCTAAATTGGGCTCCCTACTTTCTTCTAAATGGCCTAATATTTTCTTATTAATCTCTGCCCTTTCCACCTGCTCTGGCTCTGCCTCCTCATGTGACTCTCTCCTCAGCAGCAGGCTGTGCCCTGACACATGTTTCTTTAGGCTCTTTGTATCTGACGCCAGGGCAGGTTTTTTGATATGGCTAGTTTTCTGGAAACTGTTTATTCCATTTTCAAACTCCCCCCACATTCCAATGGAGTGTTTTGTTTTGTTTTGTTTTTTCCACTGTGAGTGTGTTTATATTTAGGAACAATGTATTTGGGCCAGGTGAGTTCTGGTGCAAGGTAAAATTGGGGATTCAAAGGGAAGTTGGAGAAATGAAAAGCAATTAATCATAGTTGTTAAAAGAGCAGGCTTAGAACACAGTGTGTGCCAACCCAGATTCAGGCTCCGGCACTGGCCAAAACAGTGCAGGTTCTGCTAAATGAGCGTGGGTGGGTTTGACGGCCTCTCAGATCTTCCCTTCCAGTTTGGGTCTGTATACAGATGCTTGCCTTAGTCAGTGGAATGTGTAACGTGCTTGTAGTAAGTGTTTCCTGCTATCTCACTGTTAGAGTGGAACACTGAGACAGAGTAGTGAAAGGAGTGTTATTGGTGACTAGAACAGTATTGTGGGTTGATTATATGAGATGGAGTGCTAATTTTTCCAAGAAGTCTTAAACCAAGATACAGACTGCTGCCACCAAACTTAGCATAGCAGACAGGGGAGAAAGCCTGTGTTGTCATAAGCCAAGTTGCTTAGATACATGTCCAAAGAAGAGATACAGTAACAGATATTCTCAGCTCTAGCCTCTGCCATCTCTCCTCGTAGAACTCTGACATTTAATTTTTATATCTCTTATAGTCTCTGACTGATGTGTCTTTACATCATTTGCTTTAAGAACCTTAAGAATTTTATCAAAGCTATTGATAGACTAGGAGTCAGAGAATTCAATGATAAAATGTCTACTGGGTGTTGGGAAACAGAGGTTCAGACTTGTCCCTATAGTCACCCCTATTCCTCCACATCTTATCTTTAAGTGCTGCTTTTCTTGGTCTTATGATGGAGGCACAGCTATTTACAGAAATATTACGGTGAAGATGAACACATGCTTTGCTTATCCCGTCCCCTCTATGGCTGTTGGCACTCTGTAAGGTAGTTACTTTACCTTCTTCCCATAGATAGAAAATAAAGTTTAGTCAATGCACTGTGGCAACCTTTTTACACACCTGCCACAAGTCACACATACACACACACACACACACACACACACACACACACACACACACACACAAAACCCTTCGGCTTCTGGGGGCATGGATTGTTTCTTCATCTGCTTCCAGCAAGTAAAGGTATTTGGCGTAGAGAAGATAATCAGTAATGGATGGATGAATAAAGGTAGGGGATGAAATTTGGGGTTCATAAGTAGAAAAGTACTGTACTGTGTTTAGCTATTGTCTGTCCTTCTGAGCATTATCCAACTCATATTACTGATGGAGGGAAATGGTCTGCCTTATCCCTGATATTCTCAGCTCCAGTTTTGTGATGCTGATGGGCGTCATGAAAGGAAAAATATTCAGGAGTGAGAGCAAATGATAAGTATTGGAGGTCTGGGAGACCCAGGTTTCTAGAACTGTAGGTCCAGCATCCAGATCCCTGACTGTACAAAGTGTGGTGTTTGAATTGCTATGTCTTCCTCTTATCTCTGACTCTATGAACAAGCTACTGAATTTCATGTCTGTCTACCTTTGGAATATGGAAATGGTTTGGCTTTTAAAGAATGGATATAAAGTTTCTAATAAATATCCATACGTCCCTCTCTTTATGTGGGCATCCTTGATTTCCTGACTGATGTACGTAGCAAGAAAGGATGTTAATAATGAGCAAGAGAGCCTGTTGAAAATACAGGCACTCGATAGCAAATATTATGGCAGCCTATTTCTCTGCATATCTAAGTTACTAGAAGCAAAATCATAAAGATGTTTCTTTTTATGATTGTTCAGTGTCATTATTTGATGCAAAGAAATTATTCTGGACTTTTACTATGAGGCAGGTCATGGAGTTAGGTATAAAGAGGGTCTTGGACCCTGGCCAAGAATCATTAAGTATTATAAATACTGGAAACCCAGTGCTGATGCTATTCCAGCAAGACTCATACATATACTCTTGGTTGATGATGACTATTGGTTTAGTACTTATCATGGATCAAAAGAAAATGAGATGCATTACCCATATTATCTGATATTGTTTATTGTTTCACAGGAGTGATTATATTGAAGTTTCCCTTTTCTGTCCAAAAAACTGAAACTTTGAGAAGTGCATCCGGGCAGTGTTTAAGTGGGTAGAGTCAGAGTTTGCATCTTAGAGATATTATTTTATTTCTTTTGATTTGACTTTGCTGGTGTAACCAGGAAGTAGATCTCTCGGAGTGGTCAGTTTTTTTTAAAGCCAACAGTCTTACCCAGCTTGTTTCTGAATCCATCTTTCTATTTTTTCCTTTCTTTCTTTCTTTCTTTCTTTCTTTCTTTCTTTCTTTCTTTCTTTCTTTCTTTCTTTCTTTTTTTCAGGTCAGGATCGCAGTGAAGCCAGTTTGATAAAGAGATTTAAAGGTGAAGGGGTCCGGTACAAGGCCAAACTGATTGGGATTGATGAAGTTTCTGCAGCTCGGGGAGACAAGTTATGTCAAGATTCCATGATGAAGCTCAAGGTGCTGTACAAGTGCTTCTTTATGAATAGTTTGGTTTAATGTGGGTGAGGAAAAAGCTGCTCCCCAGCACTGTGGCCGGTTAGCTCATTGCTGGAGTGGTTTGGCTTCTGGATGAATCACCATATTTATTCTCTAGGGAGAAAGTCCAGTGGCTTAGAAGTACTGCCGGGGCACGCACTTTGTGGAGGTATTTAGTCAGGCCTTGTTCGTGCTATGGAGCATAGTTTCTTCTAGATTAACTTCCTTGTAAAACCCCTGCAAAAATAAAAACACAAAATTATCAAAATTTGTAGTCCCTCACATGTTTTGAATATTTTGTTACTTTACTACTTACTATTTTTTTTTTTTTACATAGCTTATCCTCTAGTGGCAGATGTGATGGTACAATGTTGATTTCGTTCATTCTTGTAATTGCTGTGATGCACTCAAATGTTTCATTACAAAGAAAGATGGTTTCTCTGAAGCAATGTGCAACTAGACTATAAAGACAAAGCTTTGCATGGGAAAACCAGAGTTGGAAAGAAACTTAAACAGACTCAAACAAGCAGGACACTCCTTTTTCAAACAAACTTGAAAACATACCAAAAAAAAAAAAAAAAAAGAATTTCCTCCACACAGATGTTGATACCAGACATCCTATTAATTTTTAAAAATGTGGTATAAAATATTAGAAAGCAAATGACCTAACAAGAATCCTAATTTTATACATTTAGCACACACAAAATTTATCTTTCTCAATATAAAATTCTCATGATGAAATACTTTGAAAATACAGAAAATTTTAAGGAATGAAACTAAAATCCATCCCCAAATCCCACAACAATAATGAGAATTGATACTTTTCTGTTTAATTTTCAATTGTTGTACTTCTCTGACTTATCAATAATACACATATTATAATAAAATAGATTATAGTTCATATAGTTTTTCAACTTGGTTTTGCTTTATCTCATTTAATTATATATATATATATAATATATATAAATATATATGTGTACCTTTTAAAAATATCATCACATAGTATAAAGTACACTGTTAGGTCAGTGGAATCGTTTGTTTTTAAGTATAAGAAACAGCAAAAAATTGCCCACATTCTGGCAAAATGCCTGAAAGTATTTAAATGACAGAAAATTGTTAATTACTATCTGCATCACCTTTTTCTTATATGATTAACAATTCACAACTCTTAATTTTTTGTGTGCTGTACAGTGTTTTTTAGGATTTTAATATGTATGTCAGATACGGTCTCCCAGTGACATGACTGTAAATAACAAGATTTTTAAAACTACTCAGTTTTCTGTTCTCTGTCTTTGGTTTTGCTATTTAAAATGCTATACAAACAAACTTTGATTTAATCAACACATACCTAACTTACGGTATATTAGAAGATGGTAGTGAAAACAATGAAATCATGACTATACACTTTCACCTTGGAACGAGGTTAGTGATTTTTTTTCCCCCTCAGATAATGAAGCCATGTTATGAGATTTCAGGGCATCTCGATAATGAGTCCTGTTTCTCTTCTAAATTCCAACCTGAATGATGAATAGATGAAGCAGTCAGGCAAGAAGATTCCCACGGCCGCTTTGTGACTGATGAATGCTGGCCCAGAGGATGTTACTGTGAAACAGGGCCCCAGGCTGATCCTTGAACAACACAGGCTGGCGCTTGGCTTGTAGGAGAATCCTCTGTTCTTCCCACTGCTGCCTGACCCTCAGCCCGAGCAGAGCCCAGATCCTGCTCGTACACACATGAAATTAGAATGAAGCCTAGGAACCAGGATCTGTGTGCCCCAGAGAGACTACGCCTCAGGTGTCCCTTGCTCAGAGAGCCACTCCTACTATCTCAACAGATTCTTAATGTAGTAATGGAAGCCTGGGAAGTCAATGGAGATTTGCTTCTGATAAAGCTTCACTAGGAGACAGCAAAAGTGCTCCTCCTTAACCCTCCATGTTCGTGGACTAGATTCTCACCCAGAGCCACCTGTCTGCAGAGGACAGAGTTCGGCATCCAGCATCCAGGAGAAGCTATTCATCAGGTACCAGCTGCTGAGAGCCGAGAACCTTCTTGGCCAGCTGCATTGGTAGAAGCAGCAGGTTTAAGTGACTATGAAGAAACAGTTTGCTCTGCTCCCAGGAGATTACCCCGGGATCAACACCAGGCCATGCTAGCTAAACCAGATGTAGGTAGGGGCACCAGTGTGTGTGTGTGTGTGTGTGTGTGTGTTACCTGTAGTGAAACATTCCATCTGCCATCCCTTATAATCATGAGGGCCCAAGGCCCAGAGAGTTTGTGCTGCTCTAACCCTCTCCTGTCAGATGCACTGAGGGTTCTTGGTTTCCAGACAATTGTGCTTCATTATTTGCAACTTGCTGAGAAGAATGTTGACATTTCAGCTCCCAGTGCTTTTTCTGTAAGAAGCACAGAAACATAAATGATCGATTCTGCATTTGGCCACCTGCCCAGGAAAGAGACAGAGAAGTACAAAATTCCTTTTAGCCTTGAAAAAGGGCCCACTTACTCCTATTAGGCCATATAAGAGCTGGAAAAAAAATGGATTTCCTTTGCTATGCTCTGAAGTTGATGCATCTTCCATCAGAGAATTCTCTCCTGCATTGCAGAGGTTCTAGACAGTTTCTTTGTGTGAATCTGAGGGGCCAGGCATCTACTGCCAGACAGATCTACTGCCAGACCATCACCATATTTCAGCTCATACATGTCAGCTTTTGATCTTACAAGCTAGAGGTTGGTTTCTTCTGCTTTGTAGCTATAAAATCTAGGTTCAGAGAAGTTAAAGTACTTTTTTTCACAGTCTTTCCCAGAACTGAGAACTGGATCTCCAGGATCTCCAGCATCTCCAGCCTTTAACAATTAGTAGTTTAACATTCAGTTGTATCATATTCTGTGTTGGGGTTTAATTTATCCTTTCTTAGCTTGATTTTATTCTTTTACCTCTACCGTATTCCCTGGTAGCCAAACATCACTGACTGTTAAAGAAGTCAGTGTTCAGAAACCTTGGGTAGAAGGATGGTATTTGAAAACCATAGGCTGATGAGTCCTAAAGATACAGCCTGGAGAACCAAGTATAGGACCACAAGTATATTCCAGTGAGGGTCGTGAGAGATACAGAATGTGCCCTGAAGATAATAGGGGAGGGAAAGCTAGGCAAGGTTGGGAAGGAAGGTAGACACAGTATGGGAAGACATCTATCATCTGTGACAGCTTCCCAGAAAAATATGTATCAACTAGAGTCCAAGAGGAGCAAAGCAAAGACATCTCCACCAACCCAAGTCCTTCAAACAGCGACCACAACACTTTAAACCTGCTGTCAGCATTATAGGTCATGGTTGGGAAAGAATCAAAGAATGTGTTCCATACAGGGGAATTCAACTGGAAGTCTGAAAAACAAACAAACAAACAAACAAACAAACAAAACAGGACATCAGAGCAGACAGGCTGCTGGGTACACTCCAGGGCTCAAAACATGACTGCCAAAGAGACTTCATTCCCTCAGTAGCTAGAATAAAATTAAATTTACGATGAACTCCCTCCTGCAAGATTGTAAAGCTAGTCACTATGAGGACTGAGGATGGAGACGGAGCTTCTGGTGACAGTATCCTGAAATCTCAGTGTCTATACCAGTTGCCTGTTGTGTCTGTGCAGGCGCCTCCTGTGATCATGGCCTTGCATAGCATCATGTATGTGTGAGATAGTAAGTGAATATTCTCAAAGCCATCTTATATACATCAGCAAATTAGGGGCTGATTCTCACAGCAGTCCCTAAGCTGGACCAGGTAACCTATTCACCTTGCTTTACCTGACTCTAAAGACCGCCATCTAGACCCTGCCTACCTGTGTCTCTCTCAGGGGTCCCTGTGCTTGCTGTTGCACATGGTTGCTCTTTACCACAGTTGTTTATTTTCGTAGTTCTGATGGCTGTTATGTGCTGAGTATTTTCTGCATGGCCTATGGGTGGTGGTATGGGTGGAGTCCATTTCAGTTTTCTGGGATGCTCAGGAATTAATAAATGTGACAACCCCTACTTTAATGTTCTCCTTCAGATTGAGCATGGTAGCTGCTGGTTCCACCTAGCTATTTCCAGAAACGTTTGTCTCTATTTGCATCATTATTGCATGGTCATTTTTAAGGTCCATATTCCAGAAAAGATAATTAGATAATGAACAGTTGTGGTGGCAGGACTCTCACTTTCAGAACCAGGAAGGCCATGGTCTGACCTATCGATCCGTGGTTTATCGCATTGGCTCCTTTGGGGTTAAAGAGGCCACTTGACCACTGATCTTGTGCTTCTTCATCTGTGAAATTAAACTGATAATTCTTATTCCCCACAACTGTTAGGTGCAAATTGTATGACAAATAAGAAAACATATATAAGAAGTACTAAAGAAAATGGTAGACATCCATTCCCAGGTTTCCCATGGTGAGTTTCCAGTCACAAACTCCTGATCGGTGCTTATAAGAGGAGCAGGGAGCTCCCCACCCAGGCTCTCCTCCTTCCACAATTCTTTCTACACAGCTCAATAAATAATCTTGAGGGGAATGGTCCCTGTGGCATGCTAGGATAGCGCGTGTGCCTGTGTTAGGTTTCCAGAGCCATCTCACAAAGGAAATGTCTGTGATATCATCGCACTTTTTAATTTCTCCAACGCCAGCACCTGTAGAAGGTCCTCCCCTCTATTCTCCGTGAGCAGCCCCAAGCACAGCTACCCAAGAACACTGCCTCTGGCTCTTTCTGTTCTTGTTGGGCAGTCGGGTCCCATTAGGGAATAACCATATGGTACCAATAAGCAAAGGCGGCCTTGGCTTCTAGTTGGCACCACGTGCTAAAAGGTATTGCTGTTTGATGTCCCAGCAGTTTTGTGAGTGAGGAACTGCAGTGACTGTGTTGAGGGAGGGAACTATTAAAGCCACACTTTGTGGCTATAGGTGCAATGCTCTGCTCTTGTCCTGTGGTGTCCTCCCCAAGGAGGAAAAAAGAGAGTGTTCCCTCTGGCTTGGCTCTCCCGTCCTTCCCTTTGTGGGGGGTGTTCTTAGGTCATTTGTCCTGATACAGCAAAATATCAGGAATTGGGTGGATTCTAGAGAACAGAAATGTGTTTCCCTGACTCGGTGCTGAAGGCTAGAAAGTTCAAGATCAGGGTGTCAAAAGACCAGTGTCTGATGATGGTCCAGACTGCTCCCAAGATTCTGCATCCAGATTCTGCTCCAAGATGGGGCTTGCTGAGTTTTCCTGGGGTGAAGAGCAAACAGGGACAGATGCCTTCTTTCAAGCCCTCTGTGCAGGCACAGCCCATGTAAGAGCACTTTGCTCTTTTGGCTTAATCGTCTTCCAGAGGTTTTTCTCTTTAAGCAAGCTCACAAGGATTAAGTTTTAACATGCAGGATTGGTGAAATGCATTTTAGACCATAGCACGAGACTATTCTGTTTTGTCTGGATAATTAAGGTCAAAGTCTGATAGAGAGAGAGAGCAGTGTACATTGTTTTACACAAATGTGCCAGAAAGAGTGATTGCAAAGTCTCATTTTCCTAGGCCCAGGATCTGGCTTGTCCTCTTGTTTTTCCTCAAATGAGAAAAATAACCTCACTTCCCTTTAAGTGTATAATTTATACCATGCTCCATTCCAATCACTGGGTACAGGGAACAAATTAAAAAGTCCCACAGACGATTAAGCATCCCCTTCCTTGAGCAAAGTCAGACAGCTGTTTGATATGACACATCAAATGGGGTGAGTTCCCTGAAGATAGGAGAAGCAGGGGAACGAATCAGGTGTGGTTTGGCATGAAGCATTTCTACACTGGTTAAGAGAGTCTATTAGGACGATCCTGAGTAGAAGAAGGCATGACTATGATCCCAAAAGCACATGTTCGTCATTCCTCTTTTTTACTTAGAAGTATCCACTGTAAATTCAGAAGCAGCAAGTGAAGGATCTAGAAACCATAGCCTAGACTAGAAGGGGCGAAGGTTGAAGAAACTTTGAAGTGTGTCGCTGTGTAAGTACTTGCAAGAAAGTCACTGGAGAAGGTTAATGCTCAGCAGTCATGAGGCTGGATGGGGAGAACACCAAGGAGAGAAATTCTGCACCTGAAAAGGATGCGATGAACAGTAAAATTTGAACAAACTCAATTTTAAGGATTTTTTTTTTCTACTCTGAGAAGTCTGCATGCCTATAAGATGTGCTTGAGAACGGAAGGGTAACTTTTCAGAGAGTGAATTTTCTGTTAGTAGTACCTGTCTAAGAAAGAACTGGGTGCTCATTCATTACCACAATAAACTGACTTTACTGCACGTCTTCGGTATGCTGGGAATTAAGCTAGGTAATTTCCGTAAATCTTTAATTTCTTTCACTTCTGAGAAACCTCTTATGCTTGGGGAAATAGAACCAAGGTGAAGTCCTTTGTCCAGAATCAGGAGTAGAATCAGGTATTGTAAGATGGCGGTGAGCTCCAACACCCGAAGTAAAGATAATCACACAGTTCGATAAGCAGGGCTTCTCCTTGTACCTTCGGCTGTACTGACTGGTCTCCATGCCAGTTATTTTCCAAGCCAGTTCTGGGAGCGTAGTGTTCCGAGAGCAACACCATGACCTCCTAGAAGTCAGTTATTATTTCAGATTTTGTTGAAGCCCACACCACTAGTGCTGGGAGCTGAGCTTATTCTTAAACAGGAGTGCAAGAACAGACAGAGACCTTGTGCTGAGCAAACAACAGCCTCCATGTGGAAACCTCTGAAGTGACTTTACCTACCAAGGGGGCCCTAGACTTGACACTGTGTTCACCTGTAACTGCCACCGCAAAGTCTAACTTGAACCTCATAAACCACAGAGTCAATAGTCCAGATTCATTTAACAAGTATCTGAGAAGCACCTGTTGTCCCCACCAGTTGCATCTGGTATCCCAAGCTCTGGGGCTAGACCAGAGAACTCAGTAACATCTCTACCTTCTGAGAGGCTTTTACCGTCGTGAGTTTACAAATTGCCTGGGCAGGTGGGAAGTAGATATTTTGGTAAGTGGAACACGTTTAATATGTGTTTTAACCCAAAGTACAAGAATGACAAAAGAAGAGTACTGGAGAAAGAATATAAATGTCTTTGAGTAACTATTATAAAATCTGGTCATAAATATTATGATCACGTTTTGCAAAGAAAGAGAGGGATAAAGGAAATAAGGTGAGGAGGTCTAGCGTATTTTTACTTTTCTCTTCTGATATCTAGAATTCATTCTGACAAAAATATTTCCAGAAGTTTAAGAACCATAATCTTAACCTGAGCCTCTTCTGAGCGACTTACTTGAGAAGCATAGATCTGCATCCAATATAAAAACCCAAGACAGATGTTCATGTGGGGGTCTTACTGTTTTCATCTCAGGTCGTCTACCCAACTCTGAGTCAAGCATTGCAGCTCAAAGAGAGCATGAAGATAAGGGGCTCCTCTTATCTGAGGGGTAGAGGAGGAGGATATGGGGAAGAGGGAGGGAGGGTGAGACCTGGAGGAGAGGAGGGTGGGGCCTATGATCAGGATGTAAAATAGATAGATAGATAGATAGATAGATAGATAGATAGATAGATAGATAGATAGATAACCAATTATATTGGCAATTAAATAGCTACAATCTAGCCCTGCAACAATTAGAAAGGATCATGTAAAAGAGCATATTAGTATGTGAAATACTTCATGCTTCATAGTTCTTTAAGTACTTTAATAAAGCCATCAGTAAGGAAGATACCTAAAAAGGAAAGAAGGAAGGAAGGAAGGAAGGAAAGAAGAGAGGAAGGAAGAAAGAGAAAGAGAAAAAAAAAACGTTGCCTATATTGGATGGGTAGATATGTATTTATTCCATGGTAGAACGACTACAACCAGCATTATCCAAAAATATAAAGCAGATGTGAGAATGTGATGCAGAGACCCACAGAAGGGCAAAGGAAGGGTGTGCATGATTGGTGGCTCTAGCTGATGGCACCTGACATGCTGTTGGACCAGAGGGAATTTTCAAATGAAAACACTAAAGTAAAAACCATGTTCTTCCTTTCGACAGGGTGTTGTTGCTGGTGCCCGCTCCAAAGGAGAACACAAACAGAAAATCTTTTTAACCATCTCCTTTGGAGGAATCAAAATCTTTGATGAGAAGACGGGGGTAAGTGAAGGAGTCACACGGCAATGTGAAATTGAATCCATTGACAGATGTGCCCCTAGAAGCCTCTTTTCTGTGGGCAGGAATATCAAACACGCATAAAAACACATAAAGCAACTGACAAACTCGATCAACTGTGATCATCCATCAAAGCAAGTCTCCTGCCTGACTTGGTCACAGCGTGACTGCGCTGTGCTTCTTACACTGTAATTGTGGTCTAAGTGTCACACCATCCCAGTAATCTAATGGGAGATTGATGAGTTCTGAAGAGCAGTGGTCATGTGACGGGTTGGTATTAAATCCTTGTGCAATGTGCGCTTGAGGGAGACACATGTTGGTTTGGGGGACTTTGGTCAACGCCCCAGGCTCTCCAGTTTAACCTGTCACACCTTGCAGTTACTGTTAGCATAAGAGTAAATGCAGTTCTTAACCTTAAAAAAAAAATTTAAAAAGAAAGAAAAGATAGAAATTATCACTCTCTAACCAGGAACGGTGAGAACTTAACATGTTTGTTGAACCCACCAAAGAAAGAGGTTTATGTTTTCATCAAGCTCACACAACTGCAGCGAACTCCCAGTTCCATTCCAAGAACTCACACAACATTGTTGGTCCTGGTTGCTGAGAGTAAGGAAAAACAGTTAAACCTTCTGCGACCTCCATGTCTGAGAAAACCAGAATGCTTTTGTCCTTTTATTCACTCAGTGTTTTCACAGCTTATAAAAACCTCCACATGCATCACTTCCTTTGAACTTTGCAAAAATAACGCATCAGGCAATTTATAAGCAATAATCCAGCCAGCTATATTATTTGACCTTGATCATGTTGTTATTATTACCACTTGCTTGTTTGGACTAGTAACACGAGGGTGAGAAGATGATAATTTAGAAGTAAAAAAAAAAAAAAAGTGTTTTCTTGAAGAAAAATACTGCAGGAAAATTACTTCTAATGAAGAGAAGTAGAAGATATATATTGGTCATGAGCGTATTCACAACCCACAGAGGGCGGGAGTGGCCCAAACAGGCAATGGATAAACACAATGTAGTTGTATAAAGAGTGGAAAGCTAGGGAGCCTAAACACACCAGGAACGTCTGGCGAGTGCTGCCATCTGGATGAACTTTGAAGAAAAGACGCTGAATGGAATATGCTAGGCATAAAATGACAAATCCTAGGAAACCCCACTTGAACGAAAAACCTAGATACCTCAAAATCCTGGAGTCAGAGGCATACTGATGACTGCCAAGGGAGAATGAAGATGGGAGTTATTTTTAAGTAGCATTGGGTTTGGGTTTGTAAGTGATCTAGAAATCAGGTGATAGTGATTCCTGGGGTGGAAGGAGTGTGTGGGTAGAGAGATGACTCAGCAGACAAGAGTACATATTGCTCTTGCACAGACCAGAGTTCAGGTCCTGGCACCCATGTCTCACGTGGTGCCTGCAACTTCAGCTCCCAGGGATCTGACATCCTCTTGCACACACATACATATACATGCACACACATACACACACACACACACACGCACACACACACAAATAAATGTCTTCAAAATGTATGAACGTACTTAATGCCACTGGCTATATACTTTAAAACATTTCAGGTAAATGTTGTAATGTATATTTTAGCACAATGAAAAATAACAACTAGTAATAAAACCATACACTTATCCAGTGCTTCCTACATGTTCATTATGCTAATCATTTTATACGTGTTATTCAGTTTCATCCTTACAGCCATGCAATAATAGTAATGCTATTTTCAGACTCTGTAGTAAAACACTGGGGACAAGATGACTTCATGAAGAAGAGAGGTTTGTTTATTGTCTATAAAGTGATAGCTATGGCATTAGCTTGGCTGTAGTGAAGACCTCATAGTGTATAGTATCCCAGCAGTGTAAGCATGCATGAAAGCGAGCACTCACACTTGCCAACCGGGAGGCAGCAGGACACTGTGGCCCCACAACTCCCTCTAAGGACATCACCGCTGTTGACAAAAGGATTGTCTAGGAGGCTCTACCCCACAGAGGTTCACACCACTTCTGACATTGCCATCTGAAAGACCAAACCTCCAATACATGAACCTTGGATTTGAACCAATGGTTCAAATCATAACTAAACCCAAGCGATACTTCACCCTTTGTGTATTGTGCTCCAGACATCCTGGATCTTTTATAAGGACCAGGTTACATAAACATTGTAACTATCTGAGAGCAAGGTAGCACCATCATCCATGTTTACGGCTGAAGATGTGAAGGACAGAAAACTGGCTACTACTTTCAGAAATGAGAAATGGCAAAGACCAATTAGAGCCCATGTATTTTGGTCACTGTTTTCATGGCTGAGATTCCTGTTATATCTTAGGCTTACTGGCTGTTCTAATTTCAGCTGTTTACTTATTTGTTTGTTAACTTATTTGTTTTTATGGGTAAGTCAGTCAGGTGCATGTTCTATGGTCAGGAAAGGCTCGAGAAAAAGCAAACAAACAGACTTTATTACATTGAAGAAGAAGCATAACACACCACTCAGGGCCACATGGGGAAACATAGGAGGGCAGCCAAAGACCAGAATATAGCAAGAAAGGGACCCCTTAGACCTTAGTCCATGGTCTTTCCTGGAATTCCCATGGGGAGTTGAATGCAGGACAAGGGAAGAGTTTGGAACTGCCTATTGTGAATCATTTCTTCTGGCTCTAAGCTATGGGTGTAATCTCCTACTCCCTAGCACCTGGCTCTGGAGTGATTAAGGCAGAACATGTGGCCTGAAGAAGATGCCTGGCCCAGGATTGGTCAGTTTGCCTATCAATCAACGACATAGTCCTTGCTGGGCTATGTTGTGTGTAAGAATTTGCTAGCCCTGGTAAGGGCAGTGCTTTCCCAGCCAGAAAGGTTTTTAAATATCTCAAAGCAGCATGATATATGGAAAACTGAAAAGTATTTACAACGCAATGTTCAAGAGACAGAATATAGACTTAACGTCAGATTGCCCTGAATAGAAAAATCAATACAATTTGCCTCTATATTATTGGAAAAGATGGGACTGTCTCCTGATGCCTTGATGGAAAAGAGTTTAGAATGAGGACACAGGAGTCGGTAGAAAATGGGCTTGAATTCCCCCGGACCAAGAGCCCAGTGTCAGCCTCCACTGCCTTCTTCAGGTTTCACAACCTGAGAGTTTGTATCTTCCCCTGAAAGATTATACTTATGAATATTTGTGCTCAGCCTGAAACCTCACATTAAAAACCTCAGCCTGAAAGATACTGGCAAATCCTTGCTCTCTCAGTGGTCAGGACCAGGCACCAGGGCGGGGACTGGGGGGTTGGAAACTACGCTGGTTGAGTCTTCTCAGTCCACACTCGGCTTCGGGGATCCCAGAGCATAGAACATGGAGAACATCTCTGTCCTTCAGCACACTGTGGAAGCCAGGCGCTTGGGTGGAGCCTCTGAGATGCTTGTGCAATGGTTTAGATACCATGGTGGTATGATGTCGTCTCTTGTTCCTTCTGGATTCCAGCCCTGGCAACCAGAATATTCAAAGGGACAGAGGCAGAGGAGGAGCTTGGGATATTTGGTCTTTTCTCTTGTTTGGGGACCATGCTTTGGGCTTTGCTCCTACTCCTCTGTGCTCTACCCCTCCATCACATAGACTATGCCCAGACAGAGACCTAATGCTTTAAATGTTTACCAATGAAGAGAGGGAGTTTGCATACTTAACTTTTATATACCTATTCTAACAACAAACTTTGAAGTAGTATGTCAGGTTTATTCACTTTATTTTATGTGTGACTTTTGTCTGCATGTTTGTCTGTTCACTGAATGCCTGCAAAGGTCAGGAGAGGGTACCGGATCTCCTGAAACTGGAGGTTCTAGTGGCTGTTAACTACGATATGCAGGTTCTGGCAATCAAACCCAGGTCCTCTGCAAGAACAACAGATTGTGAGTCATGTCCGGGCTGAGTCTGTTTAAATCTGAAGTACAGATGATGAAACCGCAAAGAGCTCTCCAGGTGAAGGAGCCAGCTGATCCAGCATGACCTTAATGAAAACAAGGTGCCTTGCTGGAAGTTTCTAAAATGCAGTTTTGGTACATGAAAGAGGAGACCTTTCCTGACACAGCCTGAGCTGCTCAGCAGTGAGATGAGATATGCTCTGTGTGAGTGAGTTCGCCATCACTGGGGCAAATAAGGCTGCACCAAACCATAGGATCTTGTTGAAGGGAGTCGGGTAAGGCGAAGCGATATAGAGCAAAGTCAGGTCTGTTCATTTCTGAGCTGAATTTTAAAGTTCTGTTTTTCCCTGAAAGTAACAAACGCTGATGCTTCCTGCTTGAAAGCCTTCCCTGGGAGACTGCAGCACTGTACTGAATGAACCTCTGCCCTTGCCCGGCAGGGGACTGGCAACCCAGAGCTTGGTGGGATCTCCATGTTGAGGAAGTGGAAAACTAGACTTTATCATTTGGGTGACAAATCACAGCTGTTTTGTGGGGGTTTTGTTTAGTTTGGGGTTTTTTGGGGGGGTGGATTGGGGAGGTTTTTTTTTCTGTCTGAATAATCTTGCCCATGTTTGACTACACTTTTTTAAGCCAAGAAAAGAAACATTTGCTGAAAAAAAAAGTGACAATAGCTGGAATTTTAAAAACCTAAAATTGTCAAAAAAATGTTTTGATCCCAATTAAAACATTGTAGCAATTTACAGCCTGCCTTGAATCTCAAAGAATTCCTGATCCCTTACGTGAGGCAATTTTGTATTATTATGAGCATGTTGAGGGGCATAAATCATTGTTAAAAGCTGTTCGCATTCATGTACCCAAGACAGAGCTTATTCATGAGCAGGGTCTGTGAGAAGGGAGAGATGCCATCCATTGTCTTTCTGTTGTCAGTCATAGGAGTAGGAGTCCCTCTAGAATAGGAAGGAGTTGTTGACCAAGATAGCCATAGTTCTCAGGACAGTCCAGTGAACACCAAGAAAGACTGAGGTGTCACTCTCATTTTACATGCCTATTGTTACAGAAGAT